GTTTCCAGCATAGATTTAATGACACAAAGAAAAATGTGCCTAGAAATAATTACAGGGACAAGTCATAAATTAGCAGTCATGCCAATTCTCAGGGCATACTACAAAAACAAATACAGTTACACAGGGAAATGTGTGATTACACCAAGCAAGTGCTGTATTTTCAGCTAAACATTTCTGCATCTATACTCAACAACAGTGAAATGAACCAACTACCCCCAAAGTAATCAGTCACCGTCAGTGCTTTCACTCTGGATTTTTATATGGAATGAGCTAACTACTTGTTTTTTCAAGCCCAGATGCCTGAAATTACATCCCTCAGTCCACAAGTTTTATTTGCAGAGGTATTAAACTCCTACTAGTCTCATTGACATTTCTGTTAACGCTGAGAATAAAGCAGACTTCATAGGAATTGGGTAGGCACATCTGGGGAAAAACATCCCAGGGTATATATTATTGCTGGCATTTGACAATTAAACATGAAATGCTGCAAAACCGTCACATCAGAACTATTCATTATGATACAGTATTCTCTAAAAGATGGAAGGGATGATTAGAAAGTGGAGAGAAATAAATGAATACATAATTCTAAAATAACTTGTGAGCTCATTATTCCTAGTCTGCGTCATTTTACACTCACTTAAAGGATAACAAAATAACGAGGACCTAACTGCTTCACTTTGGATAAAGATGTCTTCTGCTTTTACAGAGGGAGACACCATTTGTAAGGGACTTCCACATCCTTGCGTGGAGATGGGGCCTCAGCACGCAGGGACAGACTGTTTCTGAGGCAGTACAGTGACTTATGAAAACTCCTTCACCCTAATTAGTAAGAACATATAAGGTGATTTAAAGATTTGGAGATTGTTCCATCTAGAATGCGCTGCCTAGAAATCAAGGATGGCATGTCACTGAAAGATACAATTTTTCATAAAGCCAACATGTAATCAGTTTGGTAACTGACACTATTTTAATATGTTGTATTTCACATGCTTTTTTGCTCTTTTCCTTTACAAAAAATCTTGAAGAAACAAGGTTTTCAAGAGAGCTATGGAAGAGCTTGGGGATGGTGGGGCTCAAGAAACACTCTAGGAGAATGAGATGGTCTGCTTTCTTGACAAGAAAGCTTAGGCACGTCACTGGGGTAGGGAACATGCGAGTAACATCCATGTAACATGCGAGTTTGGGGTGAGCAAATACACCCAACGTAGACCTGCTAGGCCAGTGGCAGTCCTCTTTTACCTGTCCTCTTTATTGCTATCAGAAGTACAGTACTCTGAGCAAGATCAAACTCCTTCCTTAGATGGTCTCTGAGGCTGTAACTACCTGTTTGTTCACAGGTGTTCTCTTGCAAGCTGTTCTCTGTTTTTGCACAGCTTCGTATTCTCAGTCTCTGTTGTTTAACTGAAATCAACTTCCTCTAAAACCTGTAATTTCCTTTTTTAAATATTTACAAACTCATTCGATAAACATGATGTATTTTTCAGCTTAACATGATATCATCACATTCTAATTTAAAGCTGAAGAGAGCTATAAAACCCATAAAGAACACATTGCTGTGATATGAATATTTAATGGTAAATGATCTACAAAAGTGGACTTTACTATTGAACTATTTAAATGGCTCTCCTGAACATGTAGAAAATATTAAAATTGTTGTTCCACTTAGTGATATAATACTTGGAGATACATACGCAAGACTTTTAGTTGACTAGCTTAGAATTGCCATCATCTTACATTTTGCTAGCATATTTTTACCTTTACCATCATTAAACATTTTGTCTCCTTGTCTCACAGTACTAGAACATAAGAACTCCAGAAACACACCAACTCATACTTCCTGAGATATTGTCAAAAGCTAATGTACAGGCTAAGCAGAAATATATGCAACAATATCTAAATACAAGCCGTTAGCCTGATAAGAAACACTCAGTTCCTTTGGAAGCACCAGGCTTCACCTCTGATACATGTGGGATCACGAAATATTGGATCCTCCTCATCGTAGCTCGTTAGCTCAAGTTCGCAAGCACCGGGGCACGCACAGCTTTTGGCATCATGCGAGGGATAAGTCTCAGGGTTAAACGAAGACTCAATCAAGTAGGCTATTGATAATGACAGACATATATCATGTACTTCATCACAGCGCTCTCTTACTTGCTCTGCAGTAACAGGTAATCAAATCACCATAGTGAGTCACACTAAAGGTTCACTTCATGCAGACTCGGTTTGCAAAGGCCCGGTATGCTATCACTGGGCAAGCGTCATTAACATCAAAATTGGTAATCAGCTAAAACCCCATCACAGACCAGGGTCCACGGACAAGACAAGTGTCAAAAGACAGCCCTCATCCTGAAGAACTTAAAGTCTAAATTATAAAGTCCACCTTTACTGGGAAGTAAATGAAACTGTTAGGAAGCGCCTGCACATCACAAGCAAGAAAGGACAGCACTCCATAGTAAGTGTAGGATGTACTACATCCTAAGTGTGCGTAGGTCACGGTTGGCTGTTGTCCCCGTTGATCAGGACAGCTGGAGTCAGAGATCACTAGAAAGAGGGAAACCAGCAAAATTATGTTTACAGGGAATGAGGGACAGAAGTTAAGCTACAAACTTAGAAGTTTATAGGTACTTTTCATTGTTAGATTTTTTGTGTTGCTTCTAGGTCAGAACACAAAACAAGTACTCTGGCTTTTTTGTACCCCAAATTCCTTGCAACTCACGGGAAGCATTCATAGTGCTGCTTGCCTAAAACATCCCAGTGACCACCCTAGAGACTCTGCTTTTTGTAATCCATTCTCCAGCATGTGAAGTCTGAACTTACTTGGGAGCTTGGTGCTGGAATTCCTAACCTGTGGAGAAGATATATCCCCTTGAGCTGAGCAGGATGCCCACAGCTTCTCAGTATGTGTTCTCTTACCCTGCTGGGTGCTACATACCGGTTTTGGGGGCTTGTTTGTTTTAGGTTTTTGGTTGGTTTTTTTTTTTTAAAAAACCTACCTCCTCAACTAGGACATGCATTTTAGCAGAAAGCCCTTCCAATGTGTGACTTTCCTGTATTCCAAAAGGCTTTTCTAAATTCAAGTGACCTGTTTTATTCTGAAAATAGAAAAAATTTTCTATCACCTTCATATTACTTCGGAAGGTAAATAGTGATACTATTAATGAAACAAAATATTTAAAAGTCTATTGGAACACTAATTGCACTGAGTGCCTTCTGTTAAAATGTCTTACTTCTCCTCTGCTGTGTGTGAATATATATCATAATATTTTGTATCTTGCCATAGCCAAAAAACAACTTTCCAATACAGTTACAGTTGAGCATATCCATGATTAAAGGACAAAATATATAAGTATTCCTAATTACTTCCAAAGCAAGTTTGATGCACCTATGAAAATTAAGGAAAAAAAATCAGGACATATTGCCCTGTGAAAATAAATCATCAATGACCTTAACAATACTTTTCAGTGTTATCAAACAATAAAATATAGAATATTCAGACTAGATTTTAATGTTTCCAGGCCCAGATTAGAATAAATCTAATGTAAAGATTTTCTTTTTCCTTCTGGTGCTTGTTAGTTTCTCTAGAGGAGTTTACTTTTTAATAAAAGCATATTAAGTATTTCAGTTAATGTAAAAGTAGGATGCTGTTTTTTAAAAAAAAGCTTGAAGGCAAAAAGCTTTCAAACAAAAAAATTCCTTTTTTGCTACAGATTTCTTCAGATTGCTTTCAGTATTTCCTGAGACGAATCATTTGCAGAAACATGTTGACTTCTTCCATTTAATTTAATATAGGAGAGAATGAATGTGAATGGCAAAACCTGTTTCTACAATAAAAGGATTAGCATCCCATCCAGATTGTCTGGAGTTGGATGTAGACGCTCAGTGATTTTTATGATCTGTTAAACAGCAGTAGCTTACTCAGTACACTGCTATCCCTTGGATGCACTGACCTTCTCACATGTTGTTCAAAGACTGCATGAAAAAAATGTCTTTCCATGAAAAACTGAAACAATACATTCAAAACACTGCAGAGCACCGAAATACAGCTTTAGAAAAGAACCAGAACAACATTGCATAACAAATACACCAATATTTTAAAAAGACCTATTCTACTACTAGTACAGAGACTGAGATTTGGCTGCAGGTGTATTACCTCAATGCATTTGGGAGACAGCCATCTAGCGAGTTTTTTCTTCGCCTGGTTGGCATTATTACTTGAAATTACTTTACAGGTGTTCCCCTATGGGATCTCAGAACAGACCGCTAAGGATCGCCAAGGAGACTGCACTGTCTCTGTACTGCACTGTGAGTTGGTAACTAACTAAAGCTAATTCCATATATCAGCAACACATGGCACAAATCTTGAGTTTCACCAGCTACACTGAAACTGCATTCAGTCCTCCCACTATTTTAAATCAAATCAGTTATGAAGGAGAATTGCTGGAAATTAAATCCAGCTACAACTCCAGGAACACTGCAAAAAAGCCATTTTATTAAATTTAGGGTTGTGATAACCAGTTTGCTCCACTGCAGTCAGTGTGTTCAAAAACACATAGGGGAGAACAAACATAAAAAGCCAGCACTAACTACGTGAAAGATGTAGGGTAAGCTGGTTCTATGGCCTAATTCCACTTACATGGGGATATGTAAGGGGTGACTCAGCAAAGGCTCAGAAAAGATACATCAGATTTTACCAGTGCAAAAGATAACAAAGAATATGCCAGCAAGAACTAGGTAGTCTATTGCACACAGTTTGAATGTATTTTTACAAGCGTGGATGCACAACAGTTTAAAAGAAGCAACTCCATGAAGATACACAAATAATACACACATCTTACAACCGCAAGTAAGAAGTCCTGATAATGACCATAGCACTGTTTGCTGTTACAAACTGACTTTTGACTAAATATCTGTAACTTGAACCCTTCAAGCTGTAAACAATAAAATGTTTGCAAAGATCAAGGGAAGCAAGTGTCCCTGATAGCCCTCTGCCTTGCTTACAGATGAACTCCTGAAAGAAACACCTTTCCCGCTAAATTCTGCTGCTGTTATGGAGACATTTTCCTTCCAAGACTGGTTAAACAATCACCGTGGCAAAATAAAACAGAAGAAATCGTTGAGTATGTTTGGAGATAACTTTGAAACAGAGGTAGGAGGTCTAATTTCTCTGAAAGAGAGGGATATTTTTAAAGGTCCAAGATAATAGGTGCCTACTGCTCAGACTGAGGGAATCCAGGCCTGGGAACAATGTGTAGTCTGCAGAGAAAGTTACTCACCCCTGCAGAACAACTCAGTGTCAGCCTGCCCTTCGGAAGTGCCCATCTTTGTCCATTGATTTGACCAGCTTAGGGCAGGGGCTTCCTACCTCAGATACTTCCCTTCACAAAATCAGCCTGAACCTACTTCCATTCATTTCCTTTGGGACTAAACCAGCTTGCTCTCTCCATCCCCTTACCACCCTACCCCGTATTTCCCAAACCAGAAACACCAGCATGATGCAAATACTACTCACAAGTGTGTTCAGCTTCCCTATACATTTGAACGGCATTCTTGGTGCCAAGTCTAACCCGAGTGTGTAAATACACTTTTTTTTCCTCCCCTTCAACCTACAAAAAGCGGAAACAAGGAAAACTGGAGAGCACCAGGGCGCCTGGGCTATGCTGAAGCATTGCACTTCTCAGTTTAGTCAAACACAGTCTAGCTGGGGTGTAAAGGAAGCTGTCACCATTTGATAGGTGTGCTGTATGCACGGTAGTTTACAAAACATATTCTTTCCCTGGGTTACTTGGAGTCACACTCCGAAGAATCCCACACATTTGACAGCAAAGTGACAGGGAGTGCGGGACTGTCAGGGAGAACACAGAAAGGGCAGATAATGAGAAAAATAAGGTCCAGCCTGCAGCTTTTTTTTTTAATGTTAATAGAAGAATCTTTTCTACTTCCACAGACTCTTGACAGGGCCCAGAGTTCATGAGGAGGAAGTGCCTGTTCCAAGAACAGAAGCAGGAAGGATATAGATGCAAAGCTGAGAGTGGGAGGAGGCAGAAGGAATAGATAAGTGAGGATGCAGAAGAGCATAAGGAGTGGCAGGTGTGATCAGTTCCCTTTTTATCAGTAGGAATCAATATGAGAATACCAAACGTAATGTGAATTTTAATGTCTGTAAAAATAACATCATCTTCTATGAACATTTTTCTGTAAAATTAGAATGTTTTAAGTGCTGTAGGAAAATGAATATACACACTTTGGTCACTGGGATGAATCCATTACTTTTCTTCCCTTTTTTTTTTTTTAAAGGTCATAGCTTACGGACCAGGAACAACTGAGAAAAGTAAAAACAATTCAGATATCTGGATATGGCAGCTGGTACGTGACAATTCACACTTGTTAACCAATGAGTTCATTTTCAGTTCAGAGCAGACTGAACAGTAGTAAAGCCTTCTAGCAACAGAAATGAAAATGATTACCTTCCTCCTCATAGAAAAGATCATCAACAGGCACCACCCTTCAGCTTTAAGCTACGATGAAAAATAACTGTAAACTACTGCCACCCTAAAAATCATCTTATCTTGTATGTTGAGGACAGAGATACTAGCATCCTTCATCAGGTCTTGGTGCGGATTTTAATATACCCTACACCCAGGGAATAGCCTGTAAATACATCAGAATTTCTCTGAGTGATAAAAAAGCATCACCTGTTACTTCTGCCTTGAAGCATCTGTCTTCATACTGAATTCAGTCAGGTAGACTAAGCTAATAAAAATCTGAGAACTTGTTTATACTAAAGCACAGTGGTAGATGATCCAGATGCCCTTCATTCAACTGGCTTCTAGGAAATACTTGCAGCCCGAGGGAAAACAGAGAAAACCTAGTTTTCATTTACACAAGTCACTTCGTTTGGGAGGCACTTCTACCAGTTTGTGTTCTGCTGAAATTCACAGGAACTATCAAATATTAACTAAAGACATGATAATCTTGAAAGACATTTGTTTACACCGCAGCCTATGCAATCAAGCCCTTGTTGCTGGCAAGAACTTGGCTCTTCTGCTTGAGAAGATAATGAAGAGTCCATTCCAGCGTGGATAGACTCCTATTTGCAATTTCTGTCAGCTCCCTGATGACTCGTGAACTGCTTTTCAAGACTTAAAAAGATATTAGGAATCAGAAAAGTAGAAGAGGAACCTGAAGTTCTCCAGGAGGTTCTCTGTAATTTCCAGAGCTGTACCAACTTGCAGGCTGCTAGGTCAGATTGGTAGCAGTGTACCCCCAAGAGTCAGGCAATGGGTTGCTGCTTTACGATGGGGAACAACGAACCATGAAGCATGTTTTTATTGATGCTGATAGTGTCAGACAGGGAAGATCAGCTGAATGCCTAGCTAGGCCTCATGAAACAGAACAGGTTTGAAGTGCTCTTTCAGTGGAAAAGATTGCCATACTTACCTGCAGCTTTTTCTTTCTGCTAGTGACAGGACATGGAAAATTAAAAGCTGCTTATCTGTTCTTTCCCTTCAGGAGGGCACATCTACTGTTACCATGGATGGTAAAACCCTGCCTCTATCTGCTGATGACAGCCTGCTTGTCCGTGCGCAGTCTACGTGAGTAGAGATGAACAGTGGTTCAGTTTGTGATTTCCCAGCTTCTGACAACATAAATTCTCTGTATTCGGTCCGCGTCAGGCTGAGTATCAGCTGGTGCAGAAACACAGCATCTGTGAACACAGGATTTGCAATAGCCTCTATTATTCCTTAGGGCAGAAGTGTCTTCAGGAGGAAACAAAGCCAGACATTCATTATAGTTCACCTCTTATGATTAAAGGGGGGGGGAGGGAATAAGAAAAAAAAAAAAAAAAGATAAGCACTACCAAGAAAAAGCAGCATGAAGAAGACTGTGCATAAAGGTAGATGGCACAAATACACCAATCTGCAATCGCTGCAGATCCTCTAAGCTTCAGACTAGGCTTAACCAACATCAATACAGCAAGATTTGGGGTTCAGACTAAGAACACAGCTCTCTTCCCAGAGTACAATGCATACAGCCGTTTCATAATCATGACACACATGATGTAGGTAAAGGAAAACACAGTGAAAATAGTTTCCAGAGAAAACAGAAAGGGAAAGTACTTGCCAACTCTTGTGAAGAGGGCCATAAGCTGATAAAGCGCCCACCATGACGAAGATGAAAGATGATGCATACTCATTGGTAATGCGATGCAGCAGATTATAGGCAGATGACAAAAATGCCCTCTTTTCCTACAGGAAAAATCTGATAAGCAGGAGTGCTGACATTTGCACCTTTTGTACAGCACTGAAAACATTTGCTGAAAGAGCTGAAACCATCCAGCTGCGCACAGAGATGTTCTCTGCACCTGTGATTCCAACACACAGCCACCTCCTCCCTGCACCATTACTTCCAACACTTCTGTGAAATCACTTGTCTTTAATTAATTCCCAGCCCTGCAGTCCAATCAACGAGCATGATTTCTCAAAATCATGGCGTGATGCACATGCAGGGATCTGCCAGCACAGTTTGCATTGGATTGAGACATTTATCAGAACTGTACAGCTGGCACCCTTTATTGTACGCATCCCTCTTGCACACTGATTGATCTCTGGCCATCTCAGCAACTGACACAGAAACAGCTAATACAAAAATGATGACCACAAGAAAAATACTATTGAATTCATAGATACCTATTTCATTTCATTAAAATAATATCTGTACTGAGGCGATTCCGTTCCAATCCTCACGCCTCCGAGATCAGAATAGATGCCTTCCCCCTTGGTTCATCCATAAGTAGATATACATTCTTCCCCACAGTGTTATGATGTTCAGTTTATATTAGCGATGGTGAAGAGTAGTTCCTGAAATATCACAAGATATACCAATATGGAAAGAGAGCAAGTGTAATCAGAACTAGTTTGTTTTCCTCTAATCTTCGATAGCATCAGTGTTTTAGTTGTTGGTTTGAGTGTGTGGTTTCCCCCCTCATACACATTGGATTATCTCTCTATTTTTCCAGGTACTGCTGGAAAAGAGCAGAAGACTGTGTTGCTCTCGGCATTGCTCAGGATCCAAAACGCAAGCAGCCTTATGCCTAGCTCCTGTGCCAGTTGACTTTGATGATAACTAAGTTTTAACTTACTCATCTTAATGATCTTTTAGTTGGTATGCCTGGAAATTTGAATAGTCTAACACAATGATTACACTGAATTAAGTGGAGTCAAGTGCTATACCTAATTAAAACTTTTTCCCCAAGTAGTTAGAGTTTCAGCAAAATCTACAATCAGTAATTTTTTTCAGAACAAACAGAACAATAGTTCTTATCTGAAAGGAGATAAAAACAGATCCAAGTAGCAGGATTACTTATGTGATATATATGATAGTATCTAGATGAAGTTAAAGGCTTTTCAAACGCAAGTCTCTGCTGCACATAGAAAAGGAGATAGGAGAGATACTGCTATGTCTACTGAGGTAATGCTCTTCATATCTTTGTCTCAGTTTTCTAATTTGTGATAAGTTAGGTATAACATTAGTTACCCAGCCCACAGTAGGGGAGCTGTAATTGGCAGTAGCTCACAGATCTGAGATCTTTGGCTAAAAGGCCCTTTAAAAAACCAAAGCAAACTATCTGCTGCACTGCTGGAGGATCTCAGTGCTTTGTGAAAGAGAGGAAGGTGCATTAGTAAAAGGGGAAGCAGTACCTGCAACAATATCAAGCCCCACTTAGATCACCACTGTATTTGCTTCAGGTATCTTCTTATCAGCTACCAAATCCGACAAAGCTACCAATCCAGGATCGGTCACAGTTATCGGTAACATGCCACACGTGCCATGCTGGATGCCATCTATGGACTACGCTACCAAGAAGCTAGCACAGCAATGAGACTAACACAGGAGCATCCGGGTCATGGATGCTCCTGTGCAGCAGAAATATTAAGTCAAAGTAGCCTTAGAAGTGCGTTGGAGGGACAAGGGAACAGGAAAATTATAATCAGTTTATACTAAGTGCTGCTTCTTTTTGATCAATGAGGTTTCTTGCAGAAATAACAAGTGTCAAATTATCTTTTCCTGCTTTTATTCCAGGAACTCTCCAGAGGGGTTTTTGGCTTGTTTGGTTTTTTGGTTGGGTGGTGTTTTGTTGTTTGTTTGGGGATTTTTTAAAATTATTTTTAAACACATTGTCCTTCACATTATTAACATCAGAAAACAGGTTGCTTAAATGTTTGCAGGTATTATCAATTACGTGTTTGAGAAAGCAAAAACTTACCATTTCTTGATTTTTTTTTTGTAATTCTAATTAAGTTCAGAAAATATTTCTTCACTGTATCTATCACCTACAAAGCTCATTAAACTGAGATGTCATATGTGTTTTATTCAAGCATTCATTCTTCTGTGAGTAAGACTCAGATGGCTTGGCTTTAATCTATAACTTAAATGCAAATTCCCTAGCTTTTCTAGAAAAGCATACAGCAGAACTTTACTACATCTTCCTAATAACGGGACATAGTTTGAGAAATTGAGCCCAGTGCTTAAGGCTATTATGGGTGTGAGTTATTGCACATGAAAAGGAGCTGTAACACTCCCTTTGAACAAGGGAGTCATTTATTGACTGGCATTGGTGTGTCTGTACATCCACAGAATTGCCTGCTACTTGAATGAACATCTATGGTTGCGGGATCTAGGATACCAAAGTGTTATGTTTTTAGTCCACCAGTTTGGGAGTAGCCACTGCAGTGCTACTTAGGGATTCACTTCGTATCACAGAAATGTTTCTATATCGCACACTGAATGATAAGTGGATAAAACACAGCAACACATAGAACAAAGTCCAGAATAATCAACAGCTCGTCATCTGTCCAGAGGCATTGTGAGCCATGGAAATTTCAGAATAAAAATTAAGGCACCCCTGGATTAGTTACCTCCTAGCTTTAGAGACTTAAGGATTTAAAATAAAGGCTCCACTCAAACTACATTTGTGATGAAATCCTATTATGACAACTTGTGCTTAAACACCTGAATTCTACCCAAGTGCTGTGCTAGGTGCCTGAAATCAGAGGAAGAACCAGACCAGGAGAGTTAAGCCACAGCTCAGTCACGCGCAGTTCTGCCACTGCCCACGGTCAGAAACCAGGGCTGAGCAGCTCGTCAGTTAAATTCTTCTGAGGAGCTGCTGTCATCTAAAAATTAGGTAAGAGGTGTCCAGTCCCATAAGAACGCCTAAGAATCAGGATCAAAACAGCATAAGACAACATAGAAAAAGGCCTAGATACTAGGTGCTGGGAGAAGAGAATTTCATGTTCAAGTGTCTCTTTTGAGAATTGTTTCAGTTGTTCTGCTCCTCTGCCCCAACTCAATAATTATTTGGTAGACAGCACAAAGGAGAGCACAGAGACTACTTGTCATTAACTTCTTCCAAGGTGCTTAACCACTGTGATTTAGAAACCTGCAACTTCTTTTTCCAAGTCTTCAAATGGTTCCAGGGAGCTCCTGATCAGTCAGAGAATCTTTTTCAAGTGCTTTATTGTTCCTCCATATGATATATATTGTAAACTGTCCAAACAATGGTACTTTTACAGTTAGATGCACCCATGCTCCCCTGCCTATGAGGAAGTTGGCCAGATGCAAGTTTGGTTCCTGGAGTCCTTTTAGCTGTTCGGCACTGTTTCTGCGCACATGCGGTCAGGTCAGTAGATACTTTGGCACCAGAGTTGTTGGAATCACAGTCTGGGGACTCCAATGCTTACCTTGCCTCCTAAAGATTTCAGGCTCAGGTCAGTGGCAAAGGCTTAGTTAGGCACATTGTCTGCAAAGTGTCCTAATGCATTCCTGTTGGCAATGTGCTTGTTCGTGCATGTCCATGGCAACACACCAGCACCAAACCACGTCCTGTGCATATATATGACTTTCTTTACAGCTCTTTCTATACAAGATGCACCTACACCCATTTTTCCATCCAAATCATACAGATACTTTGTCACCTCATACTTAATAAACTTATTACATTTTGGCAGGATTGTGTTAACTTCATTAGTACAATATCACGTAGACAGTCCATCTATTGCTCGCTGTTTCTCTGAGACTTAATACAAACATATATTCTAAGCAGTATTACAATAAAGCCTACACAGACCAGAAGCCATACCTGCACAATACTTCATAAATGAATTATTACCTTAAACACATGCAGGATTGTCCGGAATCACAAGCTGGATCTGACTTGAAAGCTTCGAAACACACACCAAGGACTGAGTCTCCCTACAAACATCCACAGAGAGTTACTCCAAGCCTGAATCTCCCCTGCCCTGAAAGTCAGCAGGAGCTTTCCCTTTTGCTTCAAATGGGAAAAGGTGACACGGTCCCATCCTGCCAGTTGTTGAGTAAAGTATCAAGAGAGACTGTGGCTGTTCAGTGCCTTTAAAACATTTAATCCTAATAAGAAAACTGGAAATTTTGTGAAGAGAAAGAAAGATAAAACGCTCCTGTCTAGCTATTGATATATTTTGTTTTCTATTATTGTAGCATTTAAATGGTATAATGAGTGATATAAGCATTATTATAGTACTTCAAATTCAGCAAGTCAGTCTTTCGGTTCATGTAAATTAGCAATATAGATCAAAAATATTTAAAGTAATTAGTGTCTGCTACTGCCACTAGGCTAGACAGGTCTGACCCGATAGAGTACTCATGTTCTTATTTTGAAGTAAGCCAACTTACATGAATTGTGGAAATAAATTGCAAGTGTATCACTATATTGCTCCTTATTAAGTGTTGAAGTGTGAGGCATTACCAATCAACATATTTTGTTAAGGTTACATTATACATCAGCACCTGTTCAAAACAAGTTCAAGCAACTAGCATTGCTTGAAGATATCATAGTACTTAAAAAAAAAATAATCCTGGTACAGGAAATAAAGCTTAAGTCTTCACCAGCTGTTTCTATAATATTGAAATAAGACCTGTAAAAAGCAACGTATGTTTGTTTTCCTGTTGTAGTTCTCTCAGAATCACAGTGCTCCTCATAGATCATACAGTAAACATAACACAGATCAATAGCAGAGTTCAAGATTGTTTGGTTTTTTTTTTTTTAACACAGAACACTTAAGGCAAGACAATGATCTAATGCTAACTACATTTCATCTTGCAAGGCATAAATCGACAGCTTGTAAGAGTCAAGAGAGGAACTCTTCTTCCTCCATGCTTGCTTTATTTTTAGATCTTGCTTGTTCCTTTGAAGTAACAAACTCTACCAGAAGCAGAAAACTAGACTAGGTGGGTCAGTAAACCAGTAAAATCAGGTGTGTTGCTGTACATTCTTTCCTCAAGCCCACACAGCATTTACCTACACCTGTAAACCAACCTTATCTTGTTGCATGAAGATAATAAATGCTTTCATTCTGTTAAAAACATTCGTTGTACTCTGATTTCAGCTCTCCAGCCACATTTATTTTCTAGAACAGATGCACAGAAAGCAACCCTCCCACCATCATTGCATATAAGTAAAGGAAGAAAAATTACTTAAGCTTTTAACAAATTCCTACAAAACCAGCTTGTCTTCATAATGCAGACATTTCAGGGCTTTGGCGTTTCATTTTATTTATTTTATTTTTGGTTAATAATCAAGAGTGCACTTGAATAAACACTTCAGGCTAATGAAGGTCATGACCTCCTGGTCTGTTTCTGATTGAATATACAAGTACTTACTTGTAGAGCTACTCTTCAACATCAAAGCGTGCTGTATAATAGCTGATTGGACCCAAAGTAAAACTGTTGATTTTAAAATAATAATGAAGATGACAAAGTTAATATCTACCCTGCAGCTCAGAGTAAACACCTGACCTAAAGGTCCTAGCACGATCTGGTACAGAAAGATCTTACACTGGATCTGGTCAGCAATATTTTCAGTAATTATCCAGAAAGTGTGGAAGTGCATACAAACTCTCCCTTTTAACGTTACTGGAATTTTGATTGAAGCTTGAAAGCTAGGGTAATGTATACATACACACATACAAAGTCGGACAGCCTGTATTCAGCACCTTTCCAGAAACAAGCCCTGAAATGGCAAAGTCACTAGGCAAACCAATCCCAATGCATACATCAG